AAAGAAAGAAAGAAAGAAAGAAAGAAAGAAAGAAAGAAAGAAAGAAAGAAAGAAAGAAAGAAAGAAAGAAAGAAAGACACGAGCAGCCCATGCCCCTTTGGACACTGGGATCTGAGAAGCTATTCTCTGAGGCCAGGGTTGTTAAGTCCCAGGAGCAGGCTCTGCAGCTAAATCACTCCATGGTCCCCAGCACAGGGCTATCAGGGCTCAGGAACTGAAAGAGCAGGATCCTGCTGATAGACAGCAGAAGGAAGGAAGGCCTCCCGAAGGCTGGGAGTAGGGGGGCCTGAACTGGGCACTTAGTTGAGGACCAACAGGGCACCATAGGGGTGACAGACACTTGCCCCAAACTAGTGAGGCTCTCTGAGCCCACTTCTCAACTATGGCTTGATCTTGGCTTTTGTGTCCATTCTGCCCTTCCTGGGTCCGCGTCACCCAGTGTTAGCAGGAATCCTGTTAAGTCAGTTTAACAAGAATGCCCCTACCCTTCTCGTCTCTGCTTGGTAACTTTCCAGCCACCTACCTCCTCGCTGCTCACTGGCTCCCAACCCCTAGCACTCTTTGCTGCCTTTGGAGTTGAACCTCATCTCTCTTCCCTGTTGCAACCCTTCATTGAATAGTCTTGAATAAAGTCTTCCTTGCCGTTTTAACAAGTGCCAGTGGGAAATGAGAAGGGTCCTGAAGACTGACCCTGAGGTGCCTCTTCCTCAAGACAGAGAGGGGGACCAAAAGATAAAAGGACAGTCTGGGTCCCAATCCTCACTCCAACCCTTTCTGAGCCCGGAGGGGAGCAGCCCAGATGCACATACCACAGAGCAGGACAAGCCAGAGGCAGCAGCCCCGGTGAGTCCAGGCCATAGTGTCTCCAAATGCCAATGCTGGGTAGGTGGAAGGACTAGGAAGAGGACAGGACAGCTTCTCTGGCCTCTTCTTCCAGGGCTTTCTTGGACGGGAGCAGGCAAGGGGCAGAGGCTGGCGATGGGAAGGAGGCTTCTGCTGGTGGATGGAGAGGGTCCCGCAGGCCTGTTTTGGAGGACTCTGGGAGCCAGGTTGAGTAGAGGAGCCCTAGGCTGCCCCAGGCAACCTGTGTTGGCTCCTAGTTTCCTGGAATAGGGTGTGAGCCCGTCCTGGGCAGAGTCCAAAGATCTCTGAGACAGAGAGCAACAGCTGGTCTCAATCAGCCTCCTCCCAGCCCCCTCGTCAGCAACCCAGCACAGCCATTCCCAAATTCTGTCCCCCTCCCTCCTCAATATGTTTCCCATTAGCTCCTCCATCCTGGACTCTGGCTCCAACCTTGCTTTGGGGTGGATATTTGCTGCTCCTCCTCCTCCTACAAACTAGCCTGGCTCTGGAAAAGCCAGCGTCCTCTCTCTGTAGTGTCTGGGAAGTCCCACTGCCCCCTCCTTGGGGAAGTTGGCTGCAGTTGGAGGGCTACTTTCTTGAGGGGAGCTGATCCCCTCAGAGTAGTCTGCTCTGTCAAAGTGCCTCCAGACCTTCCCTTGGGACCCTGGGAGACCCATTTAGCTGCACATTGTACATTCAGGGAAATCCACGCCTTTGGGGCCAGCTACAACGGGGAGGGATCAGAGGCCCACATATGCCTCTATTTGGAGTTACCAGAGAAGGTCACTGAAGAGAGAAGAAGACCCAGAAAAGGAGTTTGGGTGCTCTGGGAAGATGAATCTGGTTAATTAAAAACACCCTCTGGGCCTCAGTTTTAGAACGGGGATTTGGTTATCCTGCAGTACGGGTCACTCCTAAATGGCAAGACTCCATGTGAGGGAACAGATAAAATGGGGCCTTGTGTCAACATTCAGCCAAGTCAGGGGGCAGCGTGCTGCACCACCACCGAGGCAGTCCCTGGTAAATGTTCTCTAGAACCATTGGCCTTTGGATTTGAGGAAGACGACACCCCAGAGGGGACTGCTGGTGGATGGAGAGGGTCCCGCGGGCCTGTTTTAGAGGACTCTGGGAGCCAAGTAAACCCAATGGACAGGTGCTCACCGGGCATGGAGAGTTCTAAGGGCAAACTGCCCATGTCTTTTGATTGTATTTCTAATGTATTGACATTCTATTTATGTCCACAATGAGTTCAAGCCAGCTCTCAATAAGCCGATAAAATAGATCATTTTGAAGAGGGAAGGGGGATTGTCAGGGACCCTTGAAGGAGGGGAGTCAAAATGAATGAGGAGGCCCAGTGAACTTCACCCTCAGGAATAAGAGCAGAGGGCAGAAGCCCACATTCTCAGAGAACAGGCCAGGGGCAAGGACTATGAGAACTCTGGCTCGTTCTCTGAAGGCTGAAGCTCCTACTATCTTTTTCCTGTCCCCCGCCTCTGTTGCTCCATCCGGAACTAGCAATGAAGTTATCTCTGGAGATCAGGGGACTGGAGAAATGTCTCCTCAAAGGCCCTGGCCCAGAGTACTCTGTGCATGGTAACAACCACATCAAAGGGCAAGCTGGTAGAGCTGACAGGGTCATGCAGGGAGGGACCCTGAAGTCAGCCTTCAAGGACAAATGCGGTCCTGCCTCTTCAGTGAGCCTAGGAATACTGAATTTAGGAGCCCTTCTGCCTGGGTTTTGATAACAGTTCTGTCACTCACTAGCTGTGTGGTCTTAGGCAAGTGACTTCACCTATCCGAGCCCTCAGTTTACTTGCCTATAATAGTATTAACCTCTTTTTTCTTTTTTTGGAGAGGTTTTTGCTATAGGGTGCGTGGGCTTGCCAGAAAGACAGAGAGAGACAGAGAGACAGAAAGTGAGAAATCACCCCCCGGGGAGGATGGCCATGCTGCAATCCCTTCTCCTCCATTCTCCTCTCAGGATCGTTTTGTTGTTGTTGTTGTTGGAGACGTTTTTCTTTTTTGCTATAGGGCGCGTGCACTCGCCAGAAAGACAGAGAGAAACAGAGAGACAGAAAGTGAGAAATCACCCCCCGGGGAGGATGGCCATGCTGCAATCCCTTCTCCTCCATTCTCCTCTCGGGATCTTGGGCATGCACGCACATGCGCCCGGTGTGAGTTTAAGCCACCAGGTCTGGGACTCGAACCATGGTCAACTACATGGGAGTCCAGTGACATAGCCATTATGCCAACTGCTGGTCCCTATAGTACTAACCTCTTTATGGTGTGATGAGGATGAAATGGGTTAATGTTTGTGAAATCCCTAGAACGTGCCTGCTGGAGTGAAGAGTAAATTTTGTATAGGTGGTTGCTAACTCAAATGCATAACTAGAACCAGAGCTGGTCTCACCTGTACCTTGTTCTTTCTGTCCCCTGGCATCCAACACTGCTGAAATTGCAGTTAAGGGTATAGCAAAGATCAGATGACCCAAGGTGCCAAGGTTGGAAGCAAACAAAGTGAACAAGCATCCCTCCCCCATCCTCTGGACTTTGCCCAGGGATGGTCTCCACACAGTACTCACTCCTCTGCTTCCATCCCCTGAGTCCCTGCCTTGGCTTTGGTGATGATGACGACTTCACCCACCTTCACCCTCAGCTCCTCCCTTATCTCCTTATCTCGAAACCGATGTCTTTATGCACATGGGTTTGGAGAGTTGAACCCAAGTTGGCAACAGGCCCAAAGTGGAAAGAAGTGACTCAGGATGGGGAGGGTGAATGGTGAAGAGTCTTTATATAAAAGTTGTGAGGAAGATCTATGAGTCACTAGAGTCTCACTTTGGCCTGCACAGGCAGCCCACCCATGCTTGATTCACTTTTTGGTCTATGGCTAGAGTAAAGGCCAAATTCCGAGATAAGAGAAGTTGTTTTTCAGTGTCCTTCCTGTCCATGGCTTTTTGGCACCCTGATCCTGCCCTAGGCATTTCACCCTCACCTCCAACTGGGTCTGCTATCTCTGGGCACCCATGCCTGCCTAACTCACGTCAGAATGCACCTACTTGCCTTGCATGTTCTTCTGCTAGGTGACAACCGTGAGGTGTCCAGAGTTAAAGCCCACAACAACAACCCACTTCATGTGTGTGAAGAAGAAACATTTACTCAAAGCTACGAGCACACAGGGAGCCATAGCAGCAGGGCCATAAGCAGCTCAGAAGCTGAGGGAGCCTCCAAAAAGGGCGGAAGCATGGTGACGTCACTGATGCTTTATGCAAAGTTTATGATGATAATGCCCCCCCCCATGAGGGTTATCCATCATAATGGATAACTCATTTTCAGAAGGGACAAAACAATGCTGAAGATGATACCTGCAGCAGCAGACCATCCACATCAATTTTTTTTTTTTGGAGAGTTTTTTCTTTTTGCCTTAGGGTGTGTGTGCTTGCCAGAGAGAGAGAGAGAGAGAGAGAGAGAGAGAAAGAGAGAGACAGTGAGAGGGAAAATGAAAAATTACCCCTCGGGGGAATGACCATGCTGCAATCCCTTCTCCTCCATTCTCCTCCTGGGATCTCATCTGTACCCTCATTGAAGAGGACTAATGATTAACAGCAGAAACAATAGCTGACACCATGGACATCTCAACCGGTTTAGCTTGAACACTTCTGACTGAAAAGTTAAAGTGCAGCTCAATGGGTGCTCAACCGTTGCACCAGGTCAACTGTAGACAAGAGCAGAGCTTTCAGCGCGCCCCCCTACACACACAGTGAGTATTTTAAAGACGTGGGATCAAGATTCTGGAGCAATGGCTACCAGGATGGGGAAGTGGTCCAGTCAAAGCCAAAGCAGAGCTGTCAGAGCAACAGTCATGGCAACAGTTTTTTAGGATTCTCAAGGCATTTTGCCTGTCAACTTTCCAGAGGGTCAAAGAAAGGTAGCATCTGCTTATTGTGAGAGTGTTTTGAGAAAGTTGGTGGAAGCTTTAGTAAAATATCACCCAAGAAAGCTTGACCAAAGAGTCCTTCTCTACCACGACAATGCTCCTGCTCATTCCTCTCATTGAACAAGGGTAATTTTGTGACAGTTTCTATGGGAAATCATTAGGCATTCATCCTACAATCCTGTCTCGGCCCCTTCTGATTTCCATTTGTTTACTAACTTTAAAAAAAATATTTAAATGGTGGGTCAGTTAGTGTCATGGTGGTTAAGGTGCTGGATTCCACCTGACCAACTGTGCAGCTCAAGTCCTGGATCCAGTATCTTGGGAAACACGCCAGGTGCATGTTTGTGTGTGCCTAAAATCCCGAGAGTAGAGTTGAGGAGAAGGGACTGTGGCATGGCCATCCCTCTAGGGGGTGATTTCTCACTTTCCGTTTCTCTCTCTCTCTCTCAGGCTCGTATATGTACCCTATAGCAAAAAACTAAAACAAAAGAAAACAAAAATCCAAAAAGCCAAAAAACTTTAAAGAACATTCATTTTTCTTCCGTTATTCATAATAACGTAAACAAGACTGCATTGACATGGTTAAATTCCCAGAATCCTCCATTTCTCAGACTAAATGGCTGATATCATTATTTACAAAAGTATCTTGAACTTGAGGGAGCTTACATTGAGAAAGAAAGTTCTATTCTGTATTTTTATCTCTAAATTTACGTGAACTTTCCCATCTTTACATTCCCATAAACTTTCTGAAGTCCCCTCATGTATACGTATTTCAACTTGTTTTGAACCTAAATAAACATGGACTTTGATTCCTTTTCTTCCCCCCGTCTTCCCCCCAGCCACATGGCCTTTCTTTCCGTCCCTTTGACTATGTATCCTCTAACATAAGACCTTGCCCGTTCTTTCCCTCCATCTGGAATGATCACCTGTTTTAGTCCATCCCATTGCCGAGAATAGACAATACCTGAAACGGGGCAATTTAAGAAAATAAAAGTTTATGTGACTTAAGCTTTGGAGGCCCAAGCTTTGGTGGGGGTCTTATGGAGTCCCAGGGCATCACATGAGGGCAAGAGCAGAGCAGAGTAGCTGTGTCCATCCTTGTATCTCTGCATGGGGGCCCTGCCCTGAGGAACTTACTCCCAATCTCCCAAATGCCCCACCTCCAACACCATAATTGAATCAAATTTTTACCTTTTCTTTTGCCATTGGGCATGTGCATTTGCTGGAGAGAGGTAGAGAGGGACAGAGAGGGAAAGTGAGAAATCACCACCCAGGGAGGATGGTCATGCCACAGTCCTTTCTTCATTCTCATCTTGGGATTTGGGGCATGCATGCGCACAAACCTGGTGTGATTTTCAAGCTACTGGGTCCAGGTCTCAAACTGCAGTCATCTAT